AGTAATGGACTAAACACTCCAATCTGCACAATTCACTTACTAACTAGGTAGTAATTATCACTAACCTGCATTACGCTACCTTCCCTTACTAAGAGGCTGTTGCTTTATGTGACAAGTGCATGGTTAATATTTAGTTATTGAATATTCTGACCTTTATTTTTAAGAGTGTACGGCTATCTGTTTGATTTTAAATGCGAAGCATTTCTTAGCGAACTTCAGTGAATTTTAGCGTATCTATCTATCTATCTATCTATCTATCTATCTATCTATCTATCTATCTATCTATCTATCTATCTATCTATCTATCTATCTATCTATCTATCTATCTATCTATCTATCTATCTATCTATCTATCTATCTATCTATCTATCTATCTATCTATCTATCTATCTATCTATCTATCTATCTATCTATCTATCTATCTATCTATCTATCTATCTATCTATCTATCTATCTATCTATCTATCTATCTAGCCGCTTAAGTTTGGGTGCTCTCGCGGTTACCCTCTTAACTTGACGTGAGCCAAAATTAGCATGGGAGGGTAAAAGATGATTTCACAGATATGACGCGCTGGTCAGGACATGAATAATCTCACAAAGCCGTCGCGTACGTCGTCAAGCACTTTCCGCCAAGCAGTGGCACATACCCACGGGCGGGCATGTGCCACTGGTATGCATGTTATGTGCCACAGGTGATTGACACTTAGTATCTACCCAGGAACGACGGCAGCACGCATGGGCAATTTTAGCGCGCGAGCGTTAATACCCGACCCTGGTAGCGTTGATCCGACACATGCGAATAATCAATGTCAGGGTTCCAGCTGGAATCGAACTCAAGCATTCCGTGTGGAAATGAGGCATTTTCCCACAAAGTTACGCCAGATCTCTGAACTAATTTTCAAATCGACGCTAATTTCCGTAAAACATCGATAGTGGTTGCAGTGCTGCCTACCCAATTCTATAAACATTACATATGTACTCCTTTGATACAGCCGTCACGTCCGGTTAACGTCAGTCGTGCTTAGTTTTCATGCACTGAAGTTGATTTATGTAGCAGTGTCCAGAGCCAGCATCTTCGCGAGCATCAGCGCTTCATATCAGCTTCTGGTGTTGCTAATACGCATGTTCCAGTTGACATCATTGCGCAAGTGCAAACAACTGGCTATATAAACATCTGCAACTCTTCAACATAAGTCTGTGCGTGCAAGTTTCGTACATACATTTAGCTTCAATTCATGACGTGTCTCTCAATAAAAAAATTGCAACACGGTCACCTTCCCTCCGCATGCTTCGCATAACGTCGATCCCCGGGTATACGTGGGATCAGACGATTTTGTTTTTTAAAGCCGAACTTTACCCTTCCTTGCAGATGAATTCGTAACCGACTATTAAATGGCACCGTTCCGGCTATTTTCAAGATTTTACAGTTGTTTAGTTAAAAGATGAAGTGAAACTCATTTTCTTTTTTGCATTACTTTTTAAGGTTCAGCTTATGTCTAAAACTGCCTGAAAAGGCAAGTTAACAATGCGCAACATCTCGAGATTGAGCACGTAGGCTTTTCCTAATGACAAACTGGATGCGTCCTTTTCAAGTCTGGTGACCAAATTGTCTGCTTTGCGATTAGATGCAGTTTGTGCGACCCGAGAGATGGCTTTCAGCTCTCCCATAATAAAGTACCGAGTACTCTAAATCATTAACCACTTTTTGTAAACACCACATTTGTTACCTGATGCAGTTGTGTTCACCTAAAGTGCTGGTAAAAACTTCCATTCTGTGTGTATTATTACTTTATTACCGGAACGCTAAACTGCTATTGATGCTCTCAAGTGTCCGCATTTCGTTCTAAACACAGTAAAGGTCTCCTTCGCCAAATGTAAAAAGCTTTCACAACCCAGCTTTAATGTCTGACGCACATAAGGGGAAGGACAGCTCACATGAAATTAGTGGGATTCCTTGTTAAACGGAAGAACTTGTTTACGTACTGCAGCCGTTTTTAGCCTATCTATCTATCTATGTATCTATCTATCTAATATCTATCTCTACCTATATATATATATATATATATATATATATATATATATATATATATATATATATATATATATATATATATATATATATATTACGTAGCAGCTTTGTAACGTCTTTGTCAATTTTATTAGTAGTTTATAGTTTTTTTCTTTTTTTCCCTTGCTTTTACAAGCGTCTGGATCACGACCGCACTGAACAATTTAAATCTCTTGTCCAGAGCACTTTGCTAGAGCTTCTGGAAAACAAAAAGGTGCCTGACAATGCGATTCATTATTTTATTCCCCTAAGTCCTGTTCCTAGTCGTTTTTACCTTTTGCCTAAAATACACAAAATAAACAACCCCGGCCGTCCCATTATTTCAGGTATAGGTACTGTCACAGAAAAATTGTCAAGCTATGTCGATTCTCTGATCAGTAGTATCCCAGCATCACTTCCGTCTTACGTAAGGGACACTACCGACTTTGTTTCTGGTATAATTGATCTGATTGTTCCTCAAGGTTCCTTTTGGTCACGCTAGACGTAGCGTCTTTATACACCAACATTCCGCATGTAGACGGAATAGCGGCAGTCGCCAGGTCCTATGAAGCAGCATTAACGGGTAAATTTATCGACAGCAACACATTAGCAGTATTGCTCAGGCTCATTTTAGAGCTAAATAACTTTCAATTTGAAGGGCAACACTATCTCCAAGTTAGCGGCACGTCAATGGGTACGCGTATTGGACCCAACTACGCCAATATATTCATGGGCCAGCTTGAAAGTGAATTTTTGCAAACCCGCGCGCTGAAACCTTTTTATTATAAACGTTACATTGATGACATTTTCCTTATTTGGCCGCATGGTGAACAGGAGTTGCTTTCCTTCATATCTGACTTTAATGATGCCCGTCCATCAATATCATTTTCTCATACCTATTCCACATCAACGCTTAGTTTTCTTGATGTAAGCATTTCGATTGTAAATGATAAGTTATCCACCGCTCTATACAGGAAGCCTACAGACCGGCAACAGTATTTGCACTTTGACAGTAGCCACGTGAAACATTGCAAAACTAGCATCCCTTACAGTCAGGCCTTACGCTTTAAAAGAATCTGCTCAGAGCAATCCGAGTTTCAAAAAAATTGCAGAACACTAAAGGATGCTCTAGTCAAACAAAAATATCCGCCGCAATTAATTGATGACGCAATAAAACGTGCCGACATGCATAATCATAGAACGCTGTTGTGCGCTGCTAAAAACTCAACTCCCTCACCGCAGACAAACTTAGTCCTTACCCATTCTGCGTCAGTTCCGCGTGTTTCGAATGTGCTGAGAAAGCACCACAATATTCTAATGGAAAGTTAACGCGTAAGAACCATTTTCACCGAACCAGCTAAAGCAGTGTATCGCAAAGCTAAAACTATTCGCGACATACTCTCATCGTCGAAAGCAGACAGTCCTGACACGATCGGGTGCCATCCTTGCCAAAATCCGCGATGCAAACAAAGTATGCCCGCACATGCGCACATGCCAACAGGTCACCAGTACTGGTTCCAACTTTTCCTTGATAATCAAAGGCAATCTTGACTGCGATTCTAAGAACGTGATATACATGATAGAATGTGCGCTATGTGAAATACAGTACATTGGTCAAACAGAAGGGCCTTCTAGACTGCGTTTTAACAACCATAAATCTCATGCTAACACCCCGCCGCGGTGGTCTAGTGGCTAAGGTAATCGGCTGCTGACCCGCAGGTCGCGGGTTCAAATCCCGGCTGCGGCGGCTGCATTTCCGATGGAGGCGGAAATGTTGTAGGCCCGTGTGCTCAGATTTGGGTGCACGTTAAAGAACCCCAGGTGGTCTAAATTTCCGGAGCCCTCCACTACGGCGTCTCTCATAATCATATGGTGGTTTTGGGACGTTAAACCCCACAAATCAAAAAAATCTCATGCTAACACCTTGCCCTACTTGCCCATTTCAAGACACGTGCTCCTCCCTGGCCACTCTTTTGAAAATTTACAGGTCACATTATTGGACTCTGGTTTCCGCACAAATTATGATAGAGAAGCCCGTGAATCATTCCTTATCTATAAGTTCGACGCCGTCGCATCTGGTCTGAATGAAAACGTAGGAAAACTTAGTTGCCTATCTGCGTAACCTGTATCACCGTGTCTATCTTTTTTCAACCTTGCTTAGCAAGTCGCACTACATTTTCTGTATCCGTTGATTACGTAGCAGCTTTGTAACGTCTTTGTCATTTTTATTAGTATTTTATAGTTTTTTTTTCTTTTTTTCTCTTGCTTTTACTGCTCGGACTACTCTTCATGTTATGTGCTTTATCTTTTATGCGTTTTATCTTTTATTTTTAAACAACGTGCTCGCCACGTGCTCACGCATGGAAGCAATATCTTTTTACTCGTAGATTAGGTGCCCTTCATATTGTGTGACTTGCATATATATATATATATATATATATATATATATATATATATATATATATATATATATATATATATATATATATATATATATATATATATATATATATATATATATATATATATATATATATATATATATATATATATATATATATATATATCACCTTTCATGTCGGTTCTCATATTTGTTTCTTATTGATATGCACATGTATATAAACAGCACTCGTGCTATAAACTGTATTCTGATGAAGGCAACGTCAATAAAATCACTTCGTACGTGCGTCTTCTTCCCTATACGGATATATATATATATATAAATATATATATATATATATATATATATATATATATATATATATATATATATATATATATATATATATATATATATATTAATATATATATATATATATATATATATATATATATATAGAGAGAGAGAGAGAGAGAGAGAGAGATGGATTATTCAAACCATTCGTGAGGAATGCATGCTTTTCGCGTACCGTTGTGTTGTTTTGAGTAAACACTTTTGTTTGCTCTTTTTTAGGTGTTCACCTACGTTCACCTGGGAGTAGGAGCTGCGTGGTTCCTCACAGGTGCGTAAACAAAAGAAACACTTCTAAACGACAGGTTCGCATGTGGCATGCTTCACTGACCGTTCAGCAGACGGGACGAAAAAAAGGATATAGGCAAATACAAGTGCACGTGTAACAGCTGCACTTAACGCCTTAAAAATAATACTTTGAAAGTATCAAGAACAGTAAATCATTACACGAGGAGAATAACCGCCACTGTGGCTTGGCATGATTGTCTGCTAGAACTCATTAATAAGTATTGTGTCTAACATTGATTGATTGGTTGATATGTGGGGTTTAACGTCCCAAAACCACCATATGATTATGAGAGACGCTGTAGTGGAGGGCTCCGGGAATTTTAACCACCTGGGGTTCTTTAACGTGCACCCAAATCTGAGCACACGGGCCTACAGCATTTCCGCCTCCATCGGAAATGCAGCCGCCGCAGCCGGGATTCAATCCCGCGACCTGCGGGTCAGCAGCCGAGTACCTTAGCCACCAGACCACCGCGGCAGGGCGTCTAACAATGAAAGCAAGCCTTTAAATGTACACTTATTTCCTTCATTCACAGCGCTGATCTTGTTCTGGCAGACTTCATACCTTCTGCTAGTATGTGAGGGATTATTGGTCAGCAGCCAGCTCGTAATTAGTTCACGTACTACGGGACGCTAAACGCCATGATGGCTAGTGGCGGCGCTGACGGTCGCTCCCGCGTTTAATGCACATAAAGTGGACGGAGCCGCCGTGGTAGCTCGGTTTGTAGAGCGTCGAACGTGTTATTCGAGTCGCAGGTGTGATCTCTGCCCACGGCAAGGTGTCTTTTCGTCCACATTTCTTTTTTCACATTTACATTACAATGCTTTTTAATACCATCCCCTATATTTTGTTGGCATCAGATTGTCTCTTAGGTCTCGATATTACTGTTCTGCGTGAATTGTGTTTTGCCAGAAGCTGCAGTTGTGTTGGTTTCATATCGAGCATGCTTTTAAACACGAGGTGTACCTTGGTACGCACGGTAATGTAGGCTTTGCCTCCTTGAAACGTAGCTAGATGAATGTGATAGCTTCACGCAAGTTTTGTGCGTGGTCCAACGCATTGAATCTAGCTTTTCCTGTGGGTTAATTGGTTGGCGACAACATTATTTTATTTAAGGTAGTTTCACAAAGAAATTGCACGGTGCCATTTTTGTTCAACGAATCAGTACTGTCTGTTTGTGCACTCGATAAAGCCGACGAATATTTGTTGTATGCTAGTTCTGTTTCATCAGCGTATACACCTCTTGTTCTGAGGCAGGCTGTATTTGCTATGCGCTGTTCACTCAATACTGCAGTCTCAAACGCACCTCCGCTTGCGGGCTGCAGTCACGAAGTTTAACACCGAAAAAGCTGGCACAGTGAAGATAGTATATGAGGAAGGGGAGGGAGGCAAGATGTGAGAAAAGGCTTCTCCCGTTTAATATGAGTCATTTCTGATGGGTATTTCCCGTGAAGTTCCGAAAAACATGTGAACTCTGATTTTCAGAAGAGGTAATCCGGACACTGATGCTGAAATATAAATGTTTTGTTCAACGGTGATGTTTGAAATTATAGTGACTGCGTCAGATGCCTCACGAAAAAAAAAATGGCAGCATATCCACGGAGTGAATGATGGAGAGTGGGGCGAAGAATTCGTCCGTCCATTCGTTCTTGCTTCCGTCCGTCCATGCGTCCGTCAGTGTGACCGTCCATGCGTCCATCAGCCCGTCCGTGCGCTCGTCTGTTCGTGCGTCCGTCCCTGCGTTCTTCCATGCAGCCGCCCCTGCGTTCGTTCATGCGTCCATCCATGCATATGTCTATGTGTCCGTTCGTCCATCTATTCAACACTCCAAGTACCACCCATCTCGCATCATTTCATCATATATTCCCCATATAGAAGCACCGCCATCCAGCGGACATTCCAAGGACTAAACGAGAGGTGGCACACGCACACTTTCTTACGGCTTGCGCTTCGGGTCCACTTCCCACCTTTAACCACCTCGAGTTCATGGTATATACTAGTTCACTGTATTCATGGCACTGCGGCCGAACGCTCGCTAAACCTTTCGAAAACCCAGCGAGTATGACGTAGCAAACTTTTGCAGTCAGATAGTGCTCAATGTACATGCCAATGGCTGCTAATGGGAAATGAGAGACAGGAGAATTCGCCTTTTACTTTCTTACGGCTTGCGCTTCGTATCTACTTCCTATTTTTAACCACCTAGATTTCATTTATGGTATATACAAGTTCATTGTATTCATGGCACTGCGGCTCAACGCTCGCTAAACCTTTCTAAAGCTAAGGAGGTTACACCCAGCGAGTATAACGTAGCAACCCTTTCTTGTCAGATAGTGCTCAATGTACATGCCAATAGCTGCTAATGGTGATCGCAGACTGCGCGTTAACTAAAAGCAGAATGCTCCTGTCTCTCAATCCCCATTAGCAGCCATTGACATGTACATTGAGCACTATTTTTTATTGTTCAACAACGCACAGAAGAAGTCTCTCACCGGCACCACCTTGGAGGTCAAAATGTTATACTTGTTACATTCTACGAGAGACGAACGGGTGCCGCTATAAAAAGCTTCGCCCCTAAACACCGAAAAACAAACAAATGTTTGGGACCGGTCCCGTCTCTGTAGCTTACCCGAACAACTGTGTAAATTACTATCATTTGCAACAGGTGAGACAATATTGGGAGTAATACAATTAGCAAAGTCGCAAAACTTAGTTTCGCTGGCTGCATGTTGGCCGTGGACCTTTCAGACTCCTGACCTATTAAATAAAACTGGGCGGCCATCGCTAACGATGTCAACAAGTGCTACGGACGGGCGGTTGGTATAATTTTTCTTTATATTGAGGAAGCATTTAACGACTCCACGGGTTTCATTTTTCATTTTATTCATTTTTGTGGTCACTGAGCAACTGCGTCTTTCCCTGTTGTTTTGGCAAAGATAACGGGGAAACTGAGAAACTACAGGGAAATGAGGGGGGGGGGGGGTCGAAGTTTTTGAATTTTTCGGATAACCGTACGGGGCTCTTAGATTGCTCTTATGTTACTAGAAGAGGCGACTGCAGAAAAACAACCTGAAAAACTCAGCGCAATGATCACCTGATGACTCTTATGAATGCACGATTTTACCGAGGACACTACTCGCGATTCTACGGAAGAATCATTTCATCCCGCTTGATACTGCCGCATAAATTTCTGCATGGTGGCACAGGAAAGAAGACATGGTATTTGCTTGGGTGTAACGCATGAACGCTTGTAGCAGAGCGATGGTTGTCACATGACTCACTTGTCAGTTGTCACGCTATACACGTTTAAATGCACATATACAGGGTGTCTCAGGTAACTTTAGCCAGAGTGTAAAAATATGCCCGCACACGCAATTACGACGCGACCAAATGCATGTTGCTCACCGTTGCCTGGAGTTAGACTATTTTTGTGTTCTCAAATATTGTTTAATTAGATCTGTTTAATGAAGTAACTTTTGGAGGAATGGAGATGGATAAAAAATTTAATGAAAAAGTTGTAGATCGGTTTGAAAAACGTCCGATTAGACAGTTTTAGACTTTATATCTGTTTGGTATTAGTTTTTTTCTGCTAATTACAAATTCCCGCGAAAAAAAAAACACCACGTGAGAAACCCGCTCGTGTGCCAGTACGAACAATGATTCTAGTGCTCGCTGATGTTCCGCGTACGAACGATCATAGCATTTGTCCGATTGTGCTGTCTCGACAGGGCCGCAACGATGGTGGTGGCTTCACAATGAACACGTTTTGCTATCAGCCACGGAACGGTAACCACTCTGACTGCTTATCGCTTTCATGAACCGGTGTGCGGGAACCGTATCGTTTCGTACGCGGCACGTTAGGGAGCTCTAGAGTCGTTGTTCACGCTGGCGCATGAGCGGGTTTGTCACGTGGTATTTTTTTGTATTTCGCGGGAATTTGTAATTACCAGAAAAACACTAATACCTAACAGATATAAATTCACTGTCACTGTATTGCATGATGTCCAACGATCATACGGCACACTGAGTCACGTTCACGTTCTGGAAGTCCTGGCGTTGCAGAGATTCAAGGGCAAGATAATGCGTTGGATCGCTGACTTCGTGAGACACCGACAAAATTCTGTAGTTACGCTGAGGGCCCAACGTCAAAACATGTCGTCAACCAAGGAGTACCATCGCGCTAAGCCCGACTCTCTTTATTGCAGTTATGGCGCTGCTACCGTGTAATCTTCCACCGAACATCAGATGTTGTACATGCTGATCATAAAAGTATATGGACGTCTACTCTATCATTTTCGGATAACTAACAAACTTTACAAGAAAGATTAGATTATGTAGACCGTTTCCTAAGAAAAGGAGGTATGACAGTGAGTCTGGCTAAAACAGCCATACTACTGTTTACGTTAAAAATGTCGAAGATTTCCAAATTATTCTGCAAAACCAGCCTATTGAAATGGTAAATACTCATAGATTCTTGGGAGTGATTTTAGACCGGAGACTAACATGGTCGCCTAATGTCCAGTCCCTTGAACAAAAAGTGAATCAGGCCATTCGAATCCTCCGGCATCTCTGCGGGGCCAAATGGGGTGGTACTACAGAGTCGTTGTTAGCCCTACATGTTGCGTGGATACGCCCCATCGTAAGTTACTCATTACCTCTGCTGCACGGACTTCCGGCCTCCACCGAAAAGAGACTTCACTTGTTAATGGCAAGGAGCTTGAGGGTATGTCTGGAGTTGCCACGGTCAACTTCCAGTGCTTTAGTGTATGCAGATGCTCAACAACCACCCTTGGCAGTAGTCCGAGCTAAAGAAACATTTCAAAATTTATTTAGAATTTTCACGCAACATGAAAGTCATCCTTTATCTGGTGCACTAACACAAAGGACGGCAACGAGACTACAGGATACTATATCATCATTTCAAGCAGTAGTACCAGAACTTAAACGATGGAAACCTTCAAAACCACCTTGGACGCGGCCACTTCTCAACGTTATCCGTGAAATAGATCGCGTATGGAAGAAAGCAGGCATGGCGCCTCCAGTAGTGGCACAGATGGTACTTCATCATTTTCATATAATGCATAAAGAACAAAAACAAATATATTGTGGGCATTTAGTATACCAATCCTCATCATCTGTACATTATCGTCATTATCATGTGTTGCTCATGCATCCTCATCGTTGTCTCGTAGCGTCATCATCTTGGTTCGTTTATCTCAGCTGTCGGCTGGCGGTTCCTCGGGCCTAATAAAGGTCTTCCAAACCAAGACTCCATAATATACACAGATGAATCATACACTGAAGAAGCATCAGCTTGTGCGGTCTTTATGCCCGAAATTCAGAAAAACAGAATGTACAAATTATCGCACAAATCTTCATCGACGACAGGAGAATCGAGGGCTACCTTCGAAGCTGTTAAGCTTATCTGTGAGAATTATGAGCCACGAAAGTGGGTGATATGCACGGAAAGCAAACCTGCCCTTCAGCTATTGAGAAATGCGAGACCACTTTACAAAAATGGTGAAATAGCACACTGTATTGCAGAAACTGTGGAATATGCCTCAGCGCAGGGTAACAACATCGTGTTCCAATGAATACCCAGTCACATTGGAATAAAGGGAAATGAAGAGGCTTGCAGCCTCGCAAACAAAGCATTAAACGAAGGACGGGACTGCGCAATCCTTATGTCGGAGGTGGATATTCGGCATTTTATAACGCAAGGAGCTAGCCATTGTTCGATAGAGAAGTGGTTTGATAGCCCTAAATCAAAGGAATGAAGTTGATCCACACAGAACATTTTTCATAGGGACAAATCTCTCACGAAACTTAGAGACATTAATCCACAGACTTCGACTTGAGTCTGGAAGTAGCATGCTCAAACAGCTTTCTGCACAAAATACATCAATCCAACTTCCCTGAATGTCATTGTGGTCATGCAGAAGAAAATCTCCGCCATATTCTTTTGGAGTGCATCAAATGAGCAAATGAAAGAGAAAAAATGAGGAACAAACTAGCAAGTTTGGACAGACGGCCCCTCACAATAAAGAAATTACTTGGATCATAGCCTGAGATGCATCGTCAGAAAAAGGCGAACACCTTCCTGACAGACTTGGAGACTGGACTGGATAAGCGCCTGCGATAGACAGCCAGGGATGGATATGTATGAAATGTGTTAGTGCATATACTGACAGTAGAAACGGAAGGCGTGCGTGTAAACAGTTAATGACAGTGTGAACTGCTGTAAGCAAACCGTGTATTGGCATGATATTTGAACTGGTTTCAGTGTGCTATTATGGTTTTTTTGGATTGTTCATTTTTGGGTACCATTCAGTATTATTGTTTTTTTCGCTGCAGAACTCCGTGATATGGAGTAGCCGAGACAATGTGGACCTCAACCACTCCACAGCAAAACAGTTAGAACAGAACAGATATAAAGTTCAAAACTTTCTAATCGGACTTTTTGCAAACCGGTCTACAACTTTCTCATTTAGTTTTTTATCCATTCTCATTCCTTCAAAAGTTAGTTAATTAAACAGATCTAATTATTCAATATTTGAGAACACAAAAGATAGTCTGGCTAGTTCTAGGCAATGGTGAGCGAGATGCATTTGGCCGCGCTGTAATTGCGTGTGCTGGCACATTTTTAAACTCGGGATAAAGTTACCTGGGACGTCCTGTATACCCTATAATGTGGGCGGGGCGGATGACTGCTACCGTAGCTCAGCGGTAGAGCATCGGACGCGTTATTCGAAGGTCGCAGGTTTGGATCTTGCCGTTGGCAAGTTATCTTTTCGTCTCATTTTCTTTCTTCAGATTTACACTGCAATTAGTTCTAACGAAATCCCTGACACTTTCCATGGCAATTATTTGTGTATGTAACAGAGAAAAAGAGCCCTTAAATTTGCACATATCTTCCTCATGTCGCAGGTATGTGTGGCTGGATCGGGTCGTACAAGAAAGGCGGCCTCGGCATGAAACTGGTAAGTCCATCTCTCCAACTCCGATCTCCTAAATACGACGTAACCAGAGCGCCACAAATTTGACACGTGGCGAAAACGAGAAACAGACCACGCATTTTTCACCGAAGGTCACATTTCAGCTATCGTATGTATTGCTCTGCCAAGTTTTCCTATGTAGATAACTCACTCGATCCCTGATACAAACTCGTATGACGACTAGCTCGAAGGCGTCAGCCATCTTTGTTTTCTCAGCCGGTGTATTGATCCTGCAAGTCGATGCATTGCCTCCAAGATCAAAAGCATTGCAAGCTTTTTGCACAGCGCCTGCTTTGGCATCGCCTCCATGATCACCATACCTTACTTCGAGAGACGACGTCATGAGATGGCGTCATCATGTGACGTCACGCTTTCCGGGAGCATGATGGCGTCAAATGGTGACGTCATCACGTGATGATGTTTTTTTTTTAATCACTCGTGTTGACGCTGGCGCCGGTGGCAAATTTGACAATGCAAAAATGCGAAAATTTCACATAACTGTTGGAAGTACAGCGCCACAAGAAACGGACAGAGAAAAGGGAAGCCTGGCATTAGGTCTGTTGGTACATAGCTTGGAAAAACGGTGAACCCAGCCTTCGAGAACGCGTACACAAGAAGATAAATATCGACGACCACATGCGCGCAGCGAACTAGCAATAGTTTATTGAAAGAAAGAAAAAAAATATCTGCGCGAAAAGGAAATCCAACACTCACATGCGCCCTACATGATATCTTAGGCGAGAGAACGGTGGGCATGAGTTTTATTTTCGAAGAGGTATTTTTATTGAAAATTTCGTGATTCCCGACATGTTGGGCCGTCAATACTTTTCTTGTAGTGTATGTCTCTTCCAAAGCCAGGTTCGCCGTTTTGTCAAGAGAAGAGGAGTGGTAGGTGCGCACGTCCTAAGTACCAATCCTCTTCTCTGTCCGTGTCTTTCCAGCGCGGCCCTGCTCTGCTACTTGTCCCATTCCATTGCATCAACGGCCGCAAACGAAGAGCTACCTCTGCATAACAAGCATGCCACCACTACTGTGGTTCGTTTGCCGAGCCCAGTAAAAAAAATAGTTTCACCACACGGACGAAGCAATGAAAACCACAGCAACAAGTTGTAATGCTGTATACAAAATGAGACTGGCAACTAACTCTGCTATAGATCCGGTCTTGGTAAACACTGTGAAGCGCTAGTGTGTAAGATGCGTTTCTCTTCACTTCCAGTTCCTGTTCCTCGCCGTTGTCATGGTAGCGGCGGAAATAGGTGGCATCGTTGCCCTCAGCATACTCAAAATAAAGGTAATTGACTCCCAAAATGATCCCGTGAATAACGTTTTTTTTCCAGATGGTAATTCGCATACATGCGAGACACCCACCAACTGCATTTCGATTCCTTTTGTTGTTTTTGTTGTGGGGTTGTTGTTGTGCTGTCGCCCTACTAGCAAATATAGAGACGATACCGTGATGTTATGACCACCAATCATACATATATTGCGATATCTCGAAGCGCTCGCCAACACTTTTTCTGGTGGCCTCCAGAAAAACCATGCAACCATCGAGTGCTTAAACCTTCTTAGTTCTGCCGCCGTTAATTTCTGATCAATCTAGCTGGTGGCTCATATATCGTTACCAAAATAAGTGATTTTTAATTTATTTACCCTCATTTTGAAAGGACATTCGGGATATATAATACTTGTGTCCACAGCATTCACATTCCTTCACCGATACCATGGATAAAGTAGCTATTCTTTTGTTTTTACAGCGAAAGCTGTTATAAGATCACAATTTGGGTCTCCCGCAGTGCCGTAGTTCTCCGTCACCGCTGGTGTCCGTAACCAATGTCCCACAAAATTAGAAAAGAAACCTAGTACCAATGACACAGTGCGGCTCAAACCCGGGTCTGCTGGGTGCCAGCCTAGTATTTTACCACTGACTCATGCTGGTGCTTGGGGCTTGTCGGCAAACTTGCCTTGGCAGGCTTTATGTCGGGAAAGCAATCGCGTTCATACGACTTATAAAGCGTTTTAAAAAGAGCGAAATGACAACCAGTCGTCGCAGAATGCGAATAGCGTAACGAGCGGGCCGACCCATGCTGCAACTCATTACAAAAGCTTGTTCTTGTTTCCCTATTAACTGTGGGGCATACCGACTTCAGGCAGAATTCCTCATCGTCGTCAGCCACTGCGTGAACAATTGGCACGAAATTCTTTGGAAGTGCTTAGCGCATACCACGCTTCTCAGAAGAATGACGAAAAATAGCATAGCGAATGCCGGCCTACTACCAAAAAAATTATTATTAAGGTCCTAGTAGGTATCAAGCAAGTATGCTTGCAGCAGTTAACCAACTAGTGTTCAGGCTCTGCAAGGCCGCTCTTCTAACTTACGATGTGACTGCGCTGCTCCTTCCGCGCAAGTCTGGCATTTATTTTCTTCCTTCATATTACCGGAAGTAGGGTGACTCGATTCATGACACTACCAATTGAATTACCAAGTGGTTTATTAGACAAACGTAAGCTTTGAAACGTACATCTAAACCCATATCACGCATTCTATCTTCCTCATTGTAACATAATTGTATGCTCATTAGGGCTTACATTATTTCTGCTCTGCTTATCATGGTTACATAATAAAAACACTAGATGGCAAGAATTAAGCTTTGCGATGAAACTAGAAGTATACTATTTGTTGTTGTGTGCAAGAAGTAACATAATCAAATTATGCATTGCAACCTGGCGGTTACGCGTAGAAAATATCTTACTTCGTATTTGAGTGACTATAGCACGCACACAAAAATTATCTTAGGGTTAGGCTGCTGTGCATTTGTATGTCATCTAAGGTTAACTTCAACTGACCGTAAATATTGTAGGCTCCACTCATGAAACGCACGCAGCATAATAATCACACTCCGATGTAGTCGACGCCTTTCCGACGCGAATACTTCGGTACGAGTGCTAGCAGTGTTCCATCATGGGCCGTATTTCGCATTAGGATAACATGTTCTGACTAGTCCTTAATCCTTTACGTCCGCCTCGCAGGTACAAAGGTTACGGGCTCAACTGCTGACTCGAAGGTCGCCGGTGCTGTCCCGGTTGCGACGGTCGCATTGCAATGTAAACGAAGGGCTTGAGACCCATAGCTGTGCGATGGGTGTGCAGGTTCCAGAACACCAGATTGTCGAAATTTCTGGAGCCCAACCTTATGGCTCACCTCACAATCACATAGTAGTTTTGGCGCGTAATGACGCAGATACCACGATATTTTTATGATCGCTCCTCTACATCACATGTGCAGGGCACACTAGTATCGCAGAAAGCCTTGACCGACTTCCTAAATTTTTCTCCTTCTCTCGACAGATGGTGGACATCTTAAAGTCCGGCTGGATAGAAGTGAACGAGCCCACGAAAAACTTCATCCAGGACAGGGTAAGGGTCAATAAAAGCTTTTATTCCATTGCGCCGAACTATATTCCATAGGTGTTTCGTAATAGGACGGCCAAACGACCAATTATGTCCTCAGTGAATAGATATATAATAGCGTTCTCACCCACTTGGTTTGTCATCCAGTGAAAGCGCAGCCGAGAGAAACGGGAATTGCAAGTTCAGCGAGGATGGATAGTCAGTAAGGGTAGAACAGAGATGTTTTTTTTTTTTGGCAGTTGGTTATTTCCTGAGCGCTGTGTGTCGTCAGGCGTTTTTTTTTTTTATTTTTTTTTGGTGTCTGCGTTCGCTACAACGAAGCCTCAGAGAAGATAGATAGATAGATAGATAGATAGATAGATAGATAGATAGATAGATAGATAGATAGATAGATAGATAGATAGATAGATAGATAGATAGATAGATAGATAGATAGATAGATAGATAGATAGATAGAGAGATAGATAGATAGATAGATAGATGTGTAGGAACGTAGCTATAGGATTTCTACAGTCTAATGAGACCTTTATTCATTTTTGAATGGCCATTCCATGGGCGTTACAAAGTCCTACGTTTTGGTTACTACGTGATCGCGAAAAGTCTGTTTCCTACGTTCACATAGGCTGAACCAATCTGTATACAGGTTCCTGAAGTTTCTTAGTTTGTAAGTGCCAGATAACCACTCAATTTACTTTCATTTTTTGTCCAAACTGGTAATGGTTCGTTTTTTTTTTTTTGCAGCAAACTTGTGATCTGGTATCATGCATATCACAAAGAGGCCTGAATATATTCTCTATTTTTTATCTTGATGTTTGTTTGTTTTTTTTTACTTTTTTATTTATCCGCAACTTCACCCGGCGGTCCCGCTGGGGCGTTCCGCAAGGAACTAATGTCGCTGGATCCTAGCACCAACGTAAGCTGCACCCTAGTACGCTTCTTTTTACAGAGAAGCTGAAAATGGCACAGCAGCTTAATTTTGTAGCGTCCGTCCGCATCCGTTTACAAACAGCAAGGAAAAAAACAAGAAAAAAACAGGGACTTCTCTTGAGTCCGCTATAACATGCATAGCGCCATGTCAGGTCATCATGATATCGGGGATCACCAAATTTGTGATGTCATCGCATGATGACGTCACCAGATGACGTCTATAGTATCTGTGAGAAGGTGGACCGACGCTGCAGGCAGTGCAACACGAAGTGATGTACAAAAAGCTCGGTGCTGTATTGGTATGGTCGCGCGTGTCAAGCACAAGTCGAACCAAGGAGATCGAAACCATAGAGTTTCCTATAAATACACTAGAGGGAACTCTGGCGCTAGTGTCTATGGGAGCTGCAACGCATAGCGCTTCAGCTAGCATGGGATTTTTGGGTGGTGGACCAATTTGTCTAATTTTCGTACTTTCAGCTCCGTTTGGCTTCGCATGACTTGAAGCCACTTTGTCATGAAACGACCATTAGCGAATAGCTGCATTTCCCCACTTGAACCCTTAAGGCCCACCAATTCAAATTGTGTCACGAAACTAACAATGGTTCCTTCTTTCATACGAAACAAAACTAAAACGCATTAAGAAACAACATGGTGGAATGGGCGAGTTGGTGCATTTATGATAGCTTGAAAAAAAGAGCGGGTAACGTAGACAAGTTGGTAGTACGCGCTTGTCCGTGTCTTAGTTAGTGCTTGTTTACGTTACGTACTCGTATTTCAAGCACTAAACAAAGCCAAGGGTGCGTTCGAAGCCCGCAAGCACCAAGACTAAAGCCATTTTGTGTACTGCGCGTCATTCCAATGGTCGCTGAACGATCGCAGCGCCAGTTCCCCCTAGTTAATTAGAGGAAACTCTATGATTGAAACAGCCTTGGGTCGAACGCACTCTGTGAGAACGCCCGGGCAGCAGCGCGTTTACGAAGAACGCCGATGAGAGCAGAGACGGGAGTGCGTTCTTCAGCTTCGCTGGTCCTCCGATTCCCCAGAGGGAAGTGCCAACTGTTACTGCTCTGCAAAATGGAAAGACGTGTACAATTAGGGCTAGTTTGATTTCTTTGTTAGACACAATAATAATGATATCTTACAGACAATCATGCCAAGGAAAGTATATGAGATGTTATATGAGGTATATTATAAAACATCCCATATACGCTTTCCTTGGCATAACTGCCCTTGAGAATTCATTAACGCTCTGCGAAATGTTATATATAGGTGCATCTCTCGTTCGAAGTGGAAGTATTTGCTTTCATTTTATGCAAAGCGTTGACGTATTAGAAAATAAAGGTTTATTTATTCTGGTGAAAACATGCTGATTGACTGATTGTGTTGGTCTAAAACTGAGATGAAGTTTCTCGGAACGTTTGAGTTTTTAATTCAAAACTTGTGACAATAACGTGTACCTGATTGATTGATTGATATGTGGGGGTTTAACGTCCCAAAACCACTATATGATTATGAGAGACGCCGTAGTGGAGGGCTCCGGAAATTTAGACCACCTGGGGTTCTTTAACGTGCACCCAAATCTGAGCACACGGGCCTACAACATTTCCGCCTCCATCGGAAATGCAGCCGCCGCAGCCGGGATTCGAACCCGCGCCCTGCGAATAACGTGTACCTGTTCATCAAGTAATGCCTACCACAGTTCTTCAGTAAAACCTTCGTTAACTGTTGATTTCTCTCAGGTCATTTCGCTCAGGTCCTTCCTCAGCTGGTCGCATCAAAAAAGGGACTGCTTACTGCTCTCCCATAGTTGAGTACCAAGTACTCGAAATCGTTAAAAATTTTGTCTGAATATCATTTTTCTAAACCCCGTCGGTAGCGATGCGTGGGCAGCAGTTATAGCGAGTGCTCTAAATCGGTAACTACGTTTTAAACACACAAACCCAGGCTAACCCAAGGCTATATAATAGCCCATCCTGTGACATCACCACTTTGTGGTGATGTGTCGTCGTGAACTTGTTCACGGCGTAATTTTTGTCAACACAGCCTCATCAAGTCTGACGCCGACGTGATGGCTTTATGCGTGCGCAGTAGAGTACCAAGTACTCTAAATTGTTAACAACTTTTTCTAAACACCCACATCCTTTGTGATGCAAATGTAAATGTATCCACGATCATTTTCGCTGCGCATAAGAGAGAAAAAGAAATAAAAGGAAGTCGCAGGGAGGTTAACTTAGAAGAACTGGTTTGTTACCCTGTACGGGGGTGGGGAAAAGGGTCTAAAAGAGGTTAGAGATAGAGATATATAAAATAAATTAGAAAAAAATCACATGCGCACACATTTAGGGAGTTCCGGTCACATGTCTTTTGGACAGGCCGGTTGAGCGCAAGAAGCGCAAGAGCGCCTTCACAGCCTTCTTTTGCGACATAAAGTCCTTTCGGTAGTGTAGTATTCATTCTTCCGAAATAGGCTGGTTGTCCAGTTCATCTAATGCTTTGTACGTAGTGTAAATAATTTTTCCTAAACAACTGAGTTCGTGCGCGTTGTCTAGGTTTTCTCGAAACCGGGACGGCATATTGCTCTCCCATAGCAGAGTACATCGCACTTTAAATCGCCGGACATTTGTTCTAAACAACACGTTTGGCGATTATATTTAGCCTATTTATGTCGACTGACACGTTAAGGCCTTTCCCTTTGAAGGCCTTCACCTTTCTGTGAAGGCCTTTTCTTGTTTACACTATACGCTTGGGAGCTGCTTCAACTCTCATGTTGTGGACTCTTTAACTTCGTCTCTTTATCTGAGTCAACCTTCTTCGCCGACTGTTCTTTTTTCTATTTCTTTGTAGTAATTCTATTGGCCTGGTTTCCCAATTCTCAAACACTCAATCTTTTGCATCTAGCTGGACTGCTGCGGCTTCAGCGGCCCCAAAGAGTTCGCCACCACAAACAGCCACATAGACGAGACCTGTTATCGGTTAGTGGGCGAGACGGAGGATGTCTCTATCAAAGAGATCCGCCGGATCAAAAGGGTGAGTCTTCGCTAATAATGCATTGTGAATGTATTCTCTCGGCTGTCGTCATCCATCTTAAGAGAAGATAGAGGACATAGGAGAGAAAAAAAAAGGAGAGAGGTTAACCAGTTCAGGACAACCGGTTTCGCACACCACACGTGGGAACGGGATGGGGGAGATGGAAAAAGAGAGAGAAAATCATATAAGACAACCATGGTCGCTGACACAGCGTGCGCACAAACACGCAGTCAGAATCCATCACTTTGGGTGGCGTGGTACTGGACGTCACTGTCACGGACGCTTCTAGAAGTCTTTTTTTTTTCTTAAATACCTCAGTAGTGCCTTCGTCACCTTCAGCTGAGGTGTCCTCGGCCGACGACAGGCAAAAATAGTATGATAAGACATGCGTCAATTATATCAAGACACCCGTGACTGTCTCTGAACATTATATATCTGACAGCACACCGAATGTGGCGTAGTGCCTTTTCGTATACACTAACTACAGTACGCACTGTATGTAGACATTGTGGTTCTAGGTAGACAGCAAATGTTTAGCTGTCATGTCACACTTAAAATTGAAAATTTGTGCCGAATGCTTGAACCAGTGGACCTAGCCAAGTGATGTCGATTTAACTCGCGCCTACTGTGAACCTAATAAAGTCATTTCACTAACTCTCTACTGCGAAACATATATATATATACACCACTTGTATAGGGGGCGTCAGCGGCGGTATGGCACGGGGTGGATTGCTCCTTTCCCTTCCACACCTGTCTGGTTAGCTTAGCATTCCAATTGTCGGCAGCATTTTGTTCTAGACCGGCCGTTTACTGTTGTAATGAACCTCGAGCGTACGAACTTGGAACATTTTTAGCGCAATATTCAACAACTTTTCGAGTGCCACTATCAGTCCGCAGTTAGCCCAATGTGCAGTCTCCTCGATCTCTTAATGCGGTAAACCAATTTCTGGCCACGGCGACCTGCGCCATGGGTGGTGCAAGAAACGGCTCCAAAGGTTTATGGTTATACTTCCCTGTGTTGCGATTGCAGAAGCGCACGGTTCGAAGGACTACACTCTGCATCCAACAGTTCGAGTTGCGCTGTTGTTCCCACGTTATCTGACCCTACCGCGATAGCTTACGTCACGCTAGAATCGTAAACGAGACGTTAGTGCGTAAGCTTCTGTCACGATCTTTGTCACTATTCGCCCCCACGAATCTTGTGCCTTGTAGCCGCCCCCTTTCTTGTGCGCCAGAGACGCACCATTCCGTTTAGTGTTTCTATGCGTGTATCTTTTGTACATGTTGAACTGTAATGCTTTCTGTTTAGCTTTTTATTTTACAATGGTGTATTTTGTAAACTTTCCTATTTACATGTATTTTGTCTATTGCCTCCCTCACTCAATGCCACCAATAGGGCCTGTAAGATACCTTGAAATAAATAAAAAAATAACGTCCATGCATTCAAAGCGCCGCTCTGAGTTTCGACCGTACAAACTCAACTCGCTCGCTTTGGGGAAGACATGTCTAATGCTCAGAAAAGTCTGTTTATGACACTCCGAATACCGTCTGCTGAAGAGAACAGCTGTCGATGTGTGTTGTCAGGAAACTTCATCACTAATTCCCCCCCCCCCTTATTTTCGCCTCCATTTTGTCGATCATTAAGGCACCCAGTTTTGCCCCCTTTTTAAAGTTTGTACAAAGACAGCTTGTTCCCGTGCTCTAAATGTTCCATTTCTGTTCCCATCTACCGTTTCAGGGTATTCTGTGATGTGAGACGAAGTCGTCTTGTGGTCGTGTGGCGAGACGTCCACGAAACCCCAACAGGCCACTTCTTCATTACCACTTCGACTAGATGACATGCAGTCAATGCACGCCATCAAGATGACTTGCAGACCAGTCGATGAATGAAGTAAACATACACATCCCCGAAAACTAAGAAAACAAAACGAAATTTTCCCAAGCTAGCAACAGGCATGCAGCCGAGCGAGAAGCATCGAGTGTAGAAGCAAGCAAAAGCACTATGATCTTTTCTCGGCCGCATCGGAGAGCACTCTAGCGTATCCTTTACAAGTGCCAGTGTCGTTAGACTCTTGCAGTCTTGTGTGTTTGGCGTAACCGGCGGTACGCTCCACATATTCGATGGACTCCCTGCGCTTGCTGCCGTTTCTTTGGACGCATGATTGATTGCTCCGCTAGCGAGACTTGGTCGGGTTTACGGATAACTCTGAATCGGCTTCCTATAGGTCTTTATTTGTAGAACAAAAAAGGTGAACGCTTGTTTGTGACGATTATACATCTTTTGTCAACGACAGACAGATCACTACATCTTCTTTTTCAGTTAAACGATGCTCAGCTATGAGAATCGATGTTAAGCAACACTGGATGATGCTAGAAAAAAGAAAAAAAATATTAAAAGGTTATAAACTCTCATAGTCACCAGCGATACGTTGAATTCCCCGAACTTCTAAGTGTGTAGGCTTTGGTAACCTAAACATTAGTTAAATCCAAAATGCACAGCAAATATCGTTATGCATTATAAGCTGAAGGAGCTCGTACGGATGTTCGCTGACGCACAATTACAAAAAAGATTTCATTAGAAAATGTCACCATCGATCGCTATTAATAGTTAAGGAGCAGAATAAGTTATGAAATTGGCCTCGTACGTATTTCATGACTATGAAGGCAGGAGCGCTGCTTACGCACGAAATGTGAAAGTAACTATGGAGTTCGCTGTGCGACACTTATGGTCCAATGCCACTGGATAACCGCTAGGGAGGGCGGACGGAAGCAACCTTACTAAATAAATTTTCCCGAGTACATGACTACCAAGGCAGCTAGCTCTAAAGTTGCCAGCTTATTTTTCTACGCGAAACAACAGCAGCAACAACTAAACCAGTTCCGCTTCGCGTAAACTGATGGAAAAGAAGGTGTGTTTCTTTAATTAGTCGAATGCATTTCCTGCAAGTCTTTCAGATATGTTGTATCACTGCACCATAATAAACACTCTTTGAAGTTTTGGGATGGTAGTGTAGCCACCACATTTGATAACCTTAATGTATCGCGTAACGGTGGTGTGACGATGGTAATGCGCACGGCATTCGTTTACCTAACTGTTGCCTTACCACATTTTAGTGGAAGTTATGGGCAGTAGAATTTACCCTGTTGCGGCCACACATACGCGCTTATGATGTCGATCGCTTTCCGAGAGGCTGCACAGAATTCCATAGCATATACGTGTTCCTTAGACTACATGACATCTTGACCACTACACCTGGACCTTGGATTGTGATTTGTGATTTCAAAGCTCATCACTTGCTTTCGGTAAGCACAAAGATTGATTCCAGAGGCCGGAAACTTGCTGAATTCGCCTCAAGACACGAACCCACTGTTATGAATGACGGCAGTCCAATGTATTTACGTGATTCGAGATATAGCAATTGCTTGGATCTTGCATTGGTGTCACGGCAATTCACCCAACAAGTGCGATGGTTCACTGATATTGAGACTCACGGCAGTGATCATATTCCAACGTATCTGAAGGTCACAGGTTTTGCAACTTCCTCCTCATCAACTAGCAGAAGAGTTAATTGGACAATGTACAAGGCAAAGGTGGAAGAGGCATGCCATGATATCGCGTGCGGCCTCGAGGGGGTAATGAAAAATGTGATGGAAGAGGTTACGTGCACCTTTAAATACACATAAAAGCGTACAGGATTTGATATAGAACTTGAACGACTACGAACGATTCGTAGGCGGGCGGAGAGGAGGTACAGGCGCACTAATTCGATTCATGACCTCAGAGATGCTCGACGTCTACAAAAGAAAATCCAACGTCGAATGGACAAGCTGGAGGACCAATGGTGGAAGAAAATTTGTGAATCACTCGATCCTCGCAAGCCTATGTCCCATATATGGAGGACGGTGCGTGGCCTTGGCTCGACTCTACAACAACGTCCATTCAGCACATTGGCTCTTGATCAAGGCCGCCTACAGGTTGAAGTTGCTGAAGATTTCTGCGTGAGGATTGTGGGCAATGTGGTTACCATGAGGGACGAAGTTCTCGGGAATGTTCCTGTAGCAAGAGTTTCTGAACTGAATATGCTTTTCTCACTCGAGGAACTGGATGCAGCTCTAGCCACCTGCAGACGTTCATCGTCACCTGAGCCGGACGGTATTACATACTCTGCTTTATGCCATCTTGGAAGACGCGGCCGAGACCAACTACTAAAATGCTACAACCAGTCATGGAACGATGGCGTCGTTCCAGAAAGGTGGAAATCCAGCCACTTGGTACCAATCCTCAAACCTGGAAAGTCACCGCTTGACCTGGCATCATATCGACCCATTGCGCTATCCAGCTGTGTGGGGAAATTAATGGAAAGAATGGTTCTGACACGTCTCGAGTGGTACCCTGAATGCTATAATATATACCCAGAGGCCATGGCTGGTTTTCTAAGAGGCCGCTCTTCTATTGATAATGTCATCGACCTCGTAACCTCTGTGCAACAACAGAAATACCTCAAGCGCATGTCGGTTGCAATGTTCCTCGATGTGAAAGGTACTTACGAACACGTAACGCACGATGCCATCCTAGATGCCTTGGCGAACATTGGAATCAGTGGAGAAATGTTTCGATGAATTCGGAGCTACCTACAGAGGGGATTCTTCTTCGTGCTTGCTGCGGAAGGCCGCACCGTTGATCATTACACCGCTCATGGCGTTCCACAAGGCGGGGTTCTCAGCCCTACGCTGTTTAACCTCACGGTCATTGGCCTTGTACAAATTCTACCTCGATCAGTCAATATCTCTACATACGATGATTATATATGTATCTGGGCTGCAGCAGTGACACGACTCCAGGTACGCGCACGGCTCCAAAAAGCAGCGAGAATAACATCGACGTGCCTCCATGCTCGAGGCCTCACAATTTCCACCGAGAAGTGCGCCTTAGTCCCTTTTACCCGCAAGCCCATGATCTGTTATCCTGTTTCTATCGACAACGTGAACCTTTCGTATACGAAACGTCACCATTTCCTGGGCGTCATTATCGACAGAGATCTCTCGCGGAGTGCTCACATCTCGCACTTGAAGAAGAGGCTCAGCTCTATCATACACGTGATGAGATTTCTCGTTGGTAAAACGTGGGGCACATCAGTGTCATCTATGTTTCAGCTGTACAGAGCGCTCTTCTTGGGATATTTGCGGTATAGCACGCCCGTGCTTTCCAACGCCGGAAAAACTAACATCAGGGTCCTGCAAAGCATTCAAGACCAAGTCCTTTGCACATGCTTGGGGCTACCTCGGTGCGCTAATACGTTAGCAACAATTGGTATTGCTAAAGACCATCCGAACACGACATATATAACTGTTGACGCACTCCGGACACATATCCGTCACATATCCAGAGTGCCTAACCACCACCTTGCTAGCTTGCCACTAGAAAGACCAAAGGCAGCGTTTTCCAAAGTTGTTGCGGCTAACCAGAATTCCATCTCGTGGAGATTCTCGCCCGCAACCAAACCACTATCTCCAGAGTGGTGCATGAAAAGACCCACTGTGCACTTTGAAGTGCCGGAGATATCTAAAAAGGCAAGCCTGTCATCTGCAGCCCTCAAGCAGATCTCACTGGACCTTTTGCATTTGTCGTATGCTAACCAAATTCATATTTACACTTACGACTCGGTCTCGGTAAGTTCGACAGGTGCCTTCGTCATACCATCTCGATCAATCACTGTCAAATTCAAGACATCACACGTCACGACATCTACGGGATCCGAGCTCGCCGCTCTTCGAGCCGCTGTGGAGTTTGTTACGCAAGAATCCCCTAGTAGATGGGCCATTTTCTGCGACTCCAAGGCAGCCCTTCAATGCGTGCGAAGTCTACGACGTGGAAACTACCACCAGATGGTGTATCGTATTAATGAAACTTGTCATCGTGCTGCTGATCAAGGACACGACATTGTTTTACAATGATTGCCGGGCCACTGGGGCATCAGTGGTAACCACCTCGCTGACGACGCTGCCCGATGTGCCCACGATGGAGCGCCCACACTGTTAATACCCTTGTCAAGTGTAGACGCAGCTAGAGAACTTCGTCACATCGCGCATAATGCCACGCTTGTGCACTGGAATTCTCGACCTAACTCCAATCATCGCCCTAAGAATCTTAAGTCATTACTACAGAAACAACTGCCATTTAAAATTTCTCGACGTGACGCTACAATGCTGTGCCAGCTGTGGACTGGGGTAGCGTTTACTAAATCATTCAGCCATCGCATTGGCACGGCGGATTCATCCATGTGTGAAAACTGCAACTGTATAGAGACTATTGAACATCTCTTGTGCCACTGTGCCCAATTTGATGAAGATCACCGGACTGTCCAGTGTGCCTTGAATAGACTCGATGACCGGCCATTTAATGAAGCAAAGATTTTTTTTTAAATAATGAAGCAAACATCTTAGCCTGGTCGCGCAGCACATCAGCACAGAAAGCCACACGAGCCCTCCTGAGATACTTGACAGCAACTTCATTGAGGGACCGCTTGTGAAACTTGGCATTGTGTGTGTGATGTGACATGTATCTATCCTTCTCTCTCTCTTTTACTCCTCTCTCTCCCTCCCCATGTGTAGGGTAGCAAACTGGACGCATAGTCTAGTCAACCTCCCTACCTTTCCTACGTTCCTTCTCTCTCTTCTCTTGGGCTAACTGATGTCCTAATGTTTTAGTGGGCATGTGATTAATAGCGCGATTTACCCAATGTCTGTGGCGAATACCCGTTTAAGCGGATCGCGGAAATACTCGACCGAGAGTGGCTCCGTGGTTAAAAGAAGCATGCGTGCAGTATAGAATCCTTTTGCTATAAGGATTGCTTAGCAATGTACTTTTATTAAAATCGACACAATATAAATATCTATATTGTACCGATATTAAGGTATGAGAAGCTGCACACAAGGTAACACATTACTGCCTGCTATTTGCCTCATACGCTGACGAGCATCTCCTTATAGCGAACCAATCGGTAAATTCGCCGTATTCAGTAAAAGACAATTATAAAGCTGCTTACGTACCCCGCAAACTTATCCTTACTACGTTTTTATATTGTTTCCACCGCGTCTTCTGTGCAGGCGGGCTGCAAAGAGAGGCTGGTGGATTTCTTCTACAAGCACAAGATCATTTGGATATCTTCGCTCGGCGTCGTCCTACTGCTACAGGCAAGTACAGTTCTGCAACATTCTGATGTGACTCATGCAGTGATCTGTCTTCATAAGTCAGCCTTGGGTTAAACAAGACTCCAGGCCACTTAATAAAAGTTATCCAGGACCCCCGAATCAAAGCTGAGAAACAGGCTTCTTTTTTTTAAATGACGAACAGCTGTGCACCACCAAAAGCCGAACTCTAAAAACGAAGAAAAAATGCTAAAGTAATTTTAAATGATCGAGTGTGTTTTAGCACCCTCTATTACACGCAACTTCATGGTAGTACAACATAAAAAAGTATAAAGCTTACATTTACATTTTATGCGAAAATGACACTGAAAAGCGTTTCTACGTTATTACAAGCAAACATTTTTAACGAGCTTTGTTTTTGTCATTTGTATGCATAGCCGCCAACGTACTCGATCTTGTAGGCCCTTGTGCTCAGATCTGGGTGCGCGTTAAAGAACTCCAGGTGGTCGAAATTTCCGGAGCCCTCCACTACGGCGTCTCTCATAATCATATGGTGGTTTTGGGACGTTAAACCCCACATATAAATCATCAAAGTTACTCGATCCTTTTCTTCGTTCCTCCGACTGGCCGGTGCCTGCGGAACTGTCGGGTCTCCTGGAGTTTTCTGGCCTGGTCGCCTTTAGTCTTACAATATCTACACATAATGTTTCATACTCGTGCTATTCCAGCAGGTTCACGAAACTGTTTAGAATTTTATTGGTCGGTTAGTCAAATTTTACTCGTCGGTAGGTTTGCGATACCAAAAGGTCGTTACCGATGCCTCACTTGGATCCACGACCACAAGCCGAGGTGGTTGCACCACCCATCTTTTCTATTTCAGAGTTGTATCACTGAGCAAGTTGGAATTCCGGTATGAGTTGATTGTTTGTCGATGAAAGTAAGCCCATTCCCATTGCCCCCTTGAAGTACAACGTCTGCCATTTTGAGGAACCCCTCCATTCCTTGCTGTAGCCCAGAATCTAGCACGAAACCTAATTATTTAGCATTTCCGAACAGTAAGGGCTGTGTCGACGTTAAAGAGTATTTATTGAGCCTAAAGTAGTTCAAGCACAGAGCAAGAAGGCTTCCTTATCGACAAGCTGGTGCTGTATTTAGGCACAAGTGGAGATGCACGGGAAAACTGTTGGGCCCCTTAAGCAATACCGAGGATGCGTAAGTGCGAGTGGAGTACTTATAACCTCCGCTTAATCTGTCATCCGAAACGCGTTGAATTTTAACAAAGCGACAGGAAGAGCAAATGGCTGCAGTGCCACCTAGTGAATAGCCCGCCGGGTGGAGCTTAACTACGTGCACAGCCCGTCGTCACTCCATGGTGCCTGTTAAAAATGATGCCGCAGTGCTGCGCTGGTGGTGCGGTTAGCGAACTAGGCTACGCAGCAGCAAAAGTGAGTGGCGGCAACAGTTGGGGTAGGGCACAAGTGTGAATGCTCACCGTGGCATTACAAAAGTTTCAGCCATAATTCTCCTTCGTCATTTGCCAAAGCGTAAATGAAGTGCACACAATGCCTTAGAAAGCGCAGCAGATACTGCGCTTTTAGGAAGAATGACAAATAATGACATACTATAGACGTCTTCCTATTACACTAAAATTATGATATTTTACGATATAGTGCCTGTAGGTGTACCTCTAGGTGTACCTGTATGCAGGTGTAGCTGTAGTATAGTTGCCCCAAGTATGTTAGAAAAAAGCTCTGTAAAGGTCGCTCTTCCAGTTTTCGTTGTGACTTTGCTGCGTGTTTCACGCAGGCCTGCGCATTTTAGTGAAGATGGTGTACCATCTTTCTGCTGCGACTTTCTGGTGACGGTGAACTGACGCAATGGAGTCAAGTAAAGCAGCACTTTATTGTATATGAACGTGCATATTACACAAATGTGTCTTCCTTTAATACGTCTTCTCTCGACATCGTAAATAGCGCTCACACCAAATGCTTTGATGAGACTATCTACTTGTAGCAAATAGGCAATTTATACTCCGTACTTCACAGGTGACGGCGATACTACTGTCAGTGTACCTCATCAACGCCAAGAAGAGAGAGCTACGCGAGAACTCCTTCAGCTCGCTCACCCACCGATCCTACACCACAGGATACTGACAGCGGCCGCCGGCGCCGGAACAGGAAGTGCTTGTCTGGCTGTGACGATTGGAAGCTAGTACGTCACCTACGACGACACAGAGGGACGCCGGACGATCCCTACAGGAGGAGCCATGAGTACCGGAGCACAGCAGTTCAAGGCACCGACAGTGTTCTAGTGAACTTAGCGTGACGTGCTGTAGAAAACGAGTCATACGCTTGAACATTGACACGGACTTTTTTAACTATCAGCAAGGACGTTTAGCGTTTTGACGTAGGTGCAAAAGCCACATCGTTGATGATTCCGGTGCCGAAATGTCAGTCATGGAAAGCAGTATAGCGTCGTGATTGACGTATGAAAGTGTTAGCGATTGTTACGGCTTTGTCATAGAGGATCGTGTCACGCGATTTTGCTTGCAGTCGTGAGCGCATAGATTTAAGTTTACACGAAAAATGCGAGGTTGGGTGTTCCCGTGACCGCATCTGCCCCTTGAAGACTTTGGAGCGATGGTCACAATCTGTGAGGGAGTTAATTCAGGCACGTTTCACACTTGCAAGTGCAGAACCCTAGCATGATTTATGCCTAAACAGAGTAAATGCGTGCTCTAAGAGAAAAAACGAGGTGTGTTTAAGGTGTTTTCCTTGCACACTACTATAATCTTCACCTATCTCGCCAGCTTCCCTAGCGTTATTGTGTCACGCGTGGGACTTCCTTTTTCTAAGTGTTATCCTTTCCGTTGATTTCCGACTTACCACGTGTATGACTCTCTTTAAAGACGCACGTGTACGCTCTTTAGAGATAATTAAACTCCCTTCGGGGAATCTTGGTGTACAAAGACAGTTAACGAGCCTCTTTAAAGGGAGTCATATACTCAGCAAAACAGGACTCACGTTAGAGTACCGAGGCCCTGTTTTTATCGTGAATGGCTTGCGGTTATCAGCGTGGCACAGCACTCTTGATAAGAAAGTAGAGAACATAAGTTTCCAAGACAAGAAACGTGAGTGAACTGGATGACGGCTATTGCTGCATGGCGGAAAGACGCCCCAAACACTCCCGTTTGTCCTAAAGAGTATGCTGTTTCACTCTGAACATGATCGAGCTAAAGGAGTGTCATTTTGTTCCACAACAACAATCTTCACCCAACTTGCCTACGCTTCCTTTTTTTTTTTTGAAAACTTGGCACTGGACACTTTTTTATCGGGAATGCTATGTCACGCTGATAACGCCGATGTCGTTCGTGACCTGAAACCGCCGAGCGCGCGACGACAGTAGAAAAAAAGGAACAGAAAACAGGTGACGATTATTGTCGTGGGACAAAGAGACACCCTTTTTACTCGATCATTTCATATGGGGGGGGGGGGGGTAATAGCGGAGTGAAATGCTCGGAAAGTACGCAGTCTTACGAGAAAGCGGAGTCACCAATACTCGTTTTGCTCTTGTAGTACGCACCTAAAAGGTTACTATTTAGGGAGTGCTTGGCATCACCCTTCAGGTTCGTGGAATAAGATGGAAGCCTGAAATCATTTATTGTTCATGTTCGAAGCAGTGTCTCAGACACATTTTCTCCCGTATTCACAAACGCTTCTCGACTCGACTTTCACTCTTCACTTGACAGAGTGGAGCACTGCGCCGCTGCTCAGCTGAAAATGACGCTGCGCTATTCAAGAATAGCAGCGACTTATCACTGATATGCAGTGACTTGCTCTGCCTAGAGATGGCACTCCCATCGGCTTTCTCAAGTGATGGTGGAGCGTTGAGTGAAGGGGCGTTCTAGAATACGGGGGTTTGTCTTCTTAGATAAACGTTCATTTGTCCGCTTTTTGTATATAAGCCGTATCCCGTCGACGTCAAAATATTTCGGTATTTTTTATATCGTACTCAGGTGCATACAAGCTTAAAAGTGTAGTAATATTGCAATATGGCTATTCTTCCCTGAAGACAGTCATATTTTATCGTGGTGCACGTTCATGCGTCATATACTGTATTGTCGTATGCTGAGGTTCAAGTGACGGTTACCGTAAAAAAATATATATATATATTGTTGATTTGTCCAGTTCTTCGTAGTTTTTGTTCGATATTCTTCCTTTAATAGTGAATATTGTGACAACATTCGTGTATCAACACTTACGGCGTTATTCACATGCAATTAGGGCCGTGTTATGGAAAAAAAAGGACAGCCCTTTTTATTTTATTTTTCATCTGAGCTTTATGGATGCTGAGCTCTTGAGGCGTATATAGTGCATCAAAGCTACTGACAGAATCACTCATCCTGAAAACGAAGACAAACTTTCTCACGAATGGCCAAATTATTCGCGACAGCTAGGTGTTGTCATCTGTACTTCGAGCTATAGATGCTCCTTATAATAACGCCATCCATGGTTTCTTACACCTTACCGTGTTCATCAAATGTTAGCTGTTGTATAATACACACCACGCATATCGAGCTATAGTTGGTTGCCCATCCTAGGCCAAAAACGGCGCACACTTTACTGACAGAAGGAACCCGAGGCACAGGCTGTTTGCCATGTGTTCCTGTGCCACTTTTCGGTCGTCCGACTTTGTTAAGGGTGAGCTGCCTCAGCCATTACCCAACCTTTACAGCCTTTACATCCAAACGCTTAAGGGACGTCCTGAAGGTATAACTTAGCGCAGTTTTTCGCATAGTTGTCGCGATTTACGCACAGACTACACCAATCACAAAGCTTATCGTTGCGTAAAAATTGGTCACGCCATCGCTCTCCTGCGCGAAATTGGAGTTTCTGAGAAGACTTATGGTGAATTTTTGGATATTTTTTTTAACAATGTGAATTTCAATAGCTACCCCTCCCATTCTCTGCCACATTCGCGTGCCCGATGTTTGTGAGCCATGCAAGAAATTGAACTCTGCAAAGAATCCGTGCCTTGCTGCAGGTGTTCCTATAGGGTAGCAGTGAATAGCGCAGCAGTTCTAAGCTTTGTGCAGAAAAACAGCATTTGTTACGCTATCTAGTTAGCTCAGTTTGGATTTAGTTTAGTTCTATAGCAAAAAACGACTTATACGTCTGGAAAAAGGGGTGGGCAGTTCGTAGAGGAAGGGCTTCCTGAAAGAACTAGCTATTTAGAGACAGTTCCCTATCGGGGGAAATGGGGGGAGAAAGAGAGCGTGGGCAAGAAATTGCATGCCTAAATTAAGGAGGGGGGGGGGGGGCAGAGGGAGGTTCCTAGTTTAAATTATTTCGGCACTTCCACTGGTCAATGCTAGACTTTTCGTCATCAAAATTTAATCGTCGAGGCCCCAACCACATGCTTTAGAACACAAATGAGTTCTAGTTTGCTGCCATATCAGTATCAACTGTCAGACGTCAGCATTATAGCGTTCCAATTGACATATACATGAATTATGACTTACGAAATACCGTTATACCATATACGTGTAGGCCGTATACACTATTTTACAAATCGGTTTCATTGCCGTTTTATTGGGCTGTACCCTTGACGTTTTGTATCTGCAAAAACTAAACAAACAGTGTACGTGGGTGGGAGGAGGAAGAATAAGAAAATAGAATGAAAGGAGGTTAACTGAAATGGTTTGGTTATTTCATTCAATGTTTCTTGACCTTATCAGTTCACGTCGTGGTATACAGGAACAACAAAACATTCGTTTAACAGTCCAAGGTGGCATTGACCGCGGGTCTTTTGTAAAAAAATGTTCATAGACAGACGTGAGCAGTGGTTCTGGTGGCGCCATGATGGGGCGCTGACTTACAGCTCTCTCGTATAGTCTCTCTGTTGCTTGAGTAAAATGCCGGATGTGATATGTTCATTAGCCCACGGTTTTCCTTCACCCTTCAATGAAACTGTGACGCGGCACGAAAGCGTTTCTAACCGGTCGCGATTGCACAAGGCGTCCAAACGTGTCACTTCCATCGCTGCTGCTGCTGCCGTACACGTCTTGAATGTCTTACTGGTAGTGCTGGTGCATCATTAGCGAAGACACGTCTGTGCTAACAAGCTAAAATTGCCTACTTTTAGCTACGACGAAAGTTAACAGGAAGATGGATTCCCGAAGAGATGAATATTGTCGTACAGAAGCTGTATCTGGAGCCATGGAGACAGCTACGTTCGGGCACCTTGTCTTTTTCAAGACAGCAAACTCCCCTGAACACAAAACCATTTGTCGTTACGTTCACTCCAGCGAAGCTCAAGCTCAAGGATATTCTACTTCTCCTAGTACGCTTAAAAAACCCAAACACATGAAGATTAAGTGCGAGAATGTTTCATGTCTCTTGGCAAAAGTTCAAGGCACGTTCTCCCATACGCGGCGCCTGACATAACAATACAGCGAGGAAGGCGCTCTGGCAGTGTCTTGGTTATACACGAACAGAGTTACTTTTGTTCCTTCTAGTGACAACATTTTGGACGCCGAGAACATGGCAGTGTGTAGAATGCGGCAAACGTATTTTCAGAGTCATAGAGGTCTAAGCTGCCTCTACCCATGGCGAGGTAGTGCATTGTCCATTGCGTCTACCACCAGCATGCATTTGGCGTATCTCTTGTGACCAGCTTATAAACTTGTCCAAAATGTATCTGCTCAATTCTCAAGAGATTTGATCACGCCACCACGATGTCCACACTAAACATACTGCTGGTACTTTATTTTACGGGAGAAAAATGCTTATCTTATTATTGCTTTTTCTAATGGTTATCTCACTACTGCTGCAGTGGTTGCCTACTCGTCTCGTGCTGAAGCCCAGCTAACGCACTTTAGCATGAAGCACGGAAACTATCGCAAAATTTGGGATATCTGCAGATGGAACAGCTATGCACCATGACGAGGAATTCCAATCCGGAGTATGCCTTGAATGATGTGCGCGACAGACGAAAACAATTTTCAATGGGATGCTTTAACTGCTGCCATATGGCTGGCATGATTAGAAACCCCTGAACACGTCCAGTGCGCATGCCTAGGTTGCTAGGTGTTTTATTTGTCCCTCCTGTCACCAACACACCGACCCAAAAGTGGACATACTTAATGTTATCCGTTCTGGAATGAGCATCGAAAACAGAGTAGAAAGAAGAACAACATGTTCTCATATACTTATGAGTACAATTAGCGAGTTAGCAACTTTTTTCGTATTGTACAATCAGCAAGTGTTTCCGTACGCACCAGCCATTTAACGATACTCTTTACCATGGCATGTGTACATAAGACAACGTTACATGCTAGCGATACGACGAAAAAAGGAACAGCCATAACCTCTTCCTGACAAAGCCATGCATCTCGGCTGTTCACAAAGTGCAATATACTACCTCGCCCCGTCTACCGCTGGCCCTCATAACAGCTTTGCCTAGTTCCGACCTCGCACTCTCAGCTCCACTTGGTCAGCAGCAATATAAAGACACTTCACAAAGGAAAGACGAAAACGTCCGAAAGTGCCATGACCGATAGCTGGTAAGAACATAGGGCACTTTTCGTTGGTACTCCATCGCTACCGACTGGAATGTTAGTAAAAGAAAACAGCAGTTCGTAACGAAAAAAAGCTGCATCCTAAACACCATCATTTTGTGCGTCAGTTCATCGGGCAAACGAATAATGGCGTCATAAATAGACACATGCGTTGACATATTGAAAACCATT